GGTCAAAAATATTTAATGTGCCCGACCCACATAACAGGGTCTCTTTCAGATCCTTAAGTTTAGATTCAAATAAAAAAAAAATTTATAAAAACAAAAAATAGATACAAATGTTTGTATAAATGACAATGTAGTCCTGTCAATATTGCTCTGAATGATCATACACCCTGGCTACTTGGCCTCACGGATGTCCCATTGGCTGACTGGTCATTGTGCATGAATTTCCCCCAGGAGTCTGTGGGATTGAATCCTGCCTAGGCTCTCTATTTCGTATGGTCTAATATCTGTATGATATTACACCATATCTATTATAGATAATATCTATATGAGCTACTTAGTAACTCAGTGTTCACAAACAGTAAGTGCTTTCACAATTAGTGAACCAGGAGGTCAAACACATGCCAGTAAGTCAAGGGGGAACTGAGACACCAGACAAATGTAGCTGGATGGTGACATAAAGAGGAAAGGTAATCCATACAAAGGGAATTACACTGACAGAAGCGAAAATAACCTATGTAGAAGAGAGAAACAAGTGTCTTTGAAGATCAAGGTACATGTATGTATAGGGATGAAGCATTCTGTGTATGTCTTAGACAGTGGAAGGTGGAAATGAAAGAACTGAAGGAACCATAATGGGAAGAAAAAAAACCTTGCATGGTGTTATTATGAATAATGTATATTCAATGCCAATCCAAGTTGGATGCCATATTAATGTTATGAATAACTGTTATATTCAATTCCCAGCCAGCTTAAAATTCTTAACTGAAACTAAACTAAACTACTATGTACAAAGAGGAAGCGGAAGATGGTTGAAACAGTTTAAGATGGATTTTGTGTTTGAAAACCAAAGTTTATCTGGAAAAATTTGGGATATGATCAAATTAGCTTTTCACTAATTTTGAGAAATTGGAATGTTTTCAGACCAATTCACAATGCAAATCCATGAGGTGAATAAAACATTATTTGGCCAAATAATGTTTTATTAAATGATTTGCTTAACCAGGAACCAATAACCTTTAGTCAAATGATTCTTTACCCTTAGAAAAAGCTAGCAGCAAATAGACATCAGGATTTCACTAAATGACTCTTGGTCATACTTTGTAATGGAAATGTAATGAGCATCTGAGGAACATATGAACACTAATGTTATATCAGTGTTTAAACCCTTAGTGAAATAAAGCTTGGCCAAGCTT